TCATCCTACAAAAACGGTCAGGAATCACACGGCCCCAGTGAAGATGGTTGCCATCTCAGTGGGACCTCCAAATTGTCAAAGTTAGACTCCGGACTCACAGTTTGTCAGACCACTCTGTTTTATTAGCACAGCGCTCTGCTAATAACACCCAGATAATGTGAGCACCATCCAAGACCCACACTACCTTATTTTATACAGATAAAAAGGGCGCAAACTTAACAAGAGGACAAAGAAAGCAGAACTGACAAGTTTACCCGAGGCTAGACGTACATATTCAATTTTCTTACTAACTTTTACAGATCTCTGGCTGATGTTCCACCATTAGCTTAAGTGGACTCATTGTTTATGCCTTAATGTTTCTTTTCCTGACACCTGTATTTCAGCATTCCTTATTTCTGCCTAAAGGTACATACAGCATTTCTTTAATCCATTCTATTTTTACAATATAATTCATTCTACTTTCACAATAGGGAAAGAACAAATTAAAAATTACTTCGACGTATTAGATGTATTCAAGTCACCAGGGCCTGATGAAATGCATCCTAGAATACTCAAGGAGCTGACTAAGGAGATATCTGAGCCATTAGCAATTATCTTTGAGAAGTCATGGAAGATGGGAGAGATTCCAGAAGACTGGAAAAGGGCAAATATAGTGCCCATCTATAAAAAAGGGAAATAAGGATAGCCCAGGAAATTACAGACCAATCAGCTTAACTTCTGTACCTGGAAAGATGATGGAGCAAATAATTAAGCAATCCGTTTGCAAATATCTAGAAGATAAGGTGATAAGTGACAGTCAGCATGGATTTGTCAAAAACAATTCATGTCAAACCAACCTGATAGCATTCTTTGACAGGGTAAGAAGCCTTGTGGATGGGGGGCAACAGTAGACGTGGTATATCTTGACTTTAGTAAAGCTTTTGATACTGTCTTGCATGACCTTCTCATAAACAAACTAGGGAAAGGCAACCTAGATAGAGCTACTATAAGGTGGCTGCAAAACTGGTTGGAAAACCGTTCCCAGAGAGTAGTTATCAGTTATCAGGCTGGAAGGGCATAAAGAGCGGGATCCTTCAGGGATCAGTTCTGGGTCGAGTTCTGTTCAATGTCTTCATCAATGATTTAGATAATGGCATACAGAGTACACTTATAAAGTTTGCGGACGATACCAAGCTGGGAGGGGTTGCAAGTGCTTTGGAGGATAGGATTAAAATTCAAAATGATCTGGACAGACTGGAGAAATGGTCTTAAGTAAATAGGGTGAAATTCAATAAGGACAAATGCAAAGTACTCCATTTAGGAAGGAATAATCAGTTGCACACATACAAAATGGCAAATGACTGCCTAGGAGTGAGTACTGCGGAAAGGGATCTGTGCGTCATAGTGGACCACAAGCTAAATATGAGTCAACAGTGTAACACTGTTGCAAAAAAAGTGAACATCATTCTGGGATGTACTAGTAGGAGTGTTGTAAGCAAGACACGAGAAGTAATTCTTCTGTTCTACTCTGCTCTGATTAGGCCTCAACTGGAGTATTGAGTCCAGTTCTGGGTGCCACATTTCAGGAAGGATGTGGACAAATTGGAAAGAGTCCAGAGAAGCACAGCAAAAATTATTAAAGGTCTAGAAAACATGACCTGTGAGGGAAGATTGAAAAATGTAGGTTTGTTTAGTCTGGGAAAGAGAAGACTGAGGCCTGGTCTACACTAACACCCCAGTTCGATCTAAGGTACGCAACTTCAGCTACGTGAATAACGTAGCTGAAGTCGACCTACCTTAGTTCGAATTTACCGCGGTTCAGACGCGGTCCACACGCGGCAGGCAGGCTCCCCCGTCGACTCCGCGGTACTTCTCTCGCTGAGGTGGAGTACCGCAGTCGACGGCGAGCACTTCCTGGTTCGAATTATCGCGTCCAGACCAGACGCGATAAATCGAACCCGGAAGTTCGATTGCCAGCCGTCGAACTACCGCGGTAGTGTAGACCTGGCCTGAGAGGGGACATAACAGTTTTCAAGTATGTAAGAGGTTGTTACAAGGAGGAGGAAGAAAAATTGTTTTTCTTAACCTCTGAGGATAGGACAAGAAGCAATGGGCTTAAATTGCAGCAAGGGAGGTTTAGGTTGGACATTAGGAACTTCCTAACGCTCAGGGTGGTTAAGCACTGGAATAAATTGCCTAGGGAGGTTGTGGAATCTCCATCATTGGAGATTTTTAAGAGTAGGTTAGACAAACACCTGTCTGGAATGGTATAGATAATTAGTCCTGCCACGAGTGTAGGGGACTGAACTAGATGACCTCTCGAGGTCCCTTCCAGTTCTGTGATTTTATGAAAATCAGTAGAAATAAGTGTGCGGTTTAGTTCTAGCCATGTCGGTCCCAGGATATTAAAGAGACAAGGTGGGTGAGGTAATATCTTTTTTTGGACCAACTTCTATTGGTGAGAGAGACAAGACCAGAAGAGGGCGGTTCAGGAAAGATTTATTTCAGGATGGGGTCCCCATAGAGTATGGGTTGTAGTTGTTTGATACCCCATGTAGGTTCCAGTGTTGGGAGATGGTGACAACTATGGGTGTGCGGTTGGAGGGGATTTATTTCTGTTCTTCAAACAACCCCTCAACCTCTCCAAGCTCATCATCAAAAGCAAGCTCCCCACAGACCAGGACGCCATCTCAAAGCCACACCAGGCTCTGCCAGAACAACATATGCAAAATCTGCAGACATATCTCCACTGCTACAATGATCAACACCCCTTTCAAGATCCATGGGTTCTACGCATGCCTATCACAACATGTGGTGTACCTCATCCAGTGCACTTAAATGCCCCAATAACAATTGTGTGGGTGAAACCAGACAATCATTACACTTTTGAATAAACTCATACAGGAAGATGATAAAAGACAAAAACACTGTATCACCTGTGAGTGAACACATTTCAGAAAGCGATCACTCTGTATCTGACCCGTGAGTCCTCATCCTCAAAGAAAACCTGCACAACACTTTCAAAAGATGAGCCTGGGAGTTTAAATTCATAACTTTGCTAGACACTAAAATCATGGTCTTAATAAAGACACTGGATTTATGGCTTATTACAACAATCTGTAACCCACTAACCCCCATTTTTGTCCTATAATTACAGGGGTGTTCATGGGCCACTTCACCTTGAATGGTCCCTTAGAATATGTGCTAACTATTTATGCTAAACTATCTGTTTGACCTTGTATTTAGCTGTGACACTCTGAGTTCCTTTCCCAGACCCGAGGAAGAGTTCTGTATAGCTCGAAAGCTTGTTTCTCTCACCAACGGAAGTTGGTCCAATAAATGCTATTACCTCACCCACCTTGTCGCTCTAGAAATAAAAGTGCATATGACAAGTCTTTTTTTTGTACCAGATGAGAGAAAAGCAAAAAGTAAACAAGTAGCATAAAGATTTTTTTAAAAACAATTCTTTCCAAAAAAGAATATTTTCTAGGGATTCTTTCTAAAGAAAAGCCTCTTAAATCAGCATCAACCTTGACCACTGGATCCATGGTTTGATGTTGATCTAAAGTTCTCAATCAAATGAGTTTGGTGGTATGAACTCAATGCATTTTTATACTAGACTGTATCTTAATAGCGTCTTGATTTTCACCAGAGCTGGCCCTGTTTGGGGAGAAGTCTCTTGTGCTGTTCCTTTTGCAGGATCCCTTGGTATTTTCTGCTTTTGCTTGCTTGCTTTCACTCCTGAAAACTCCCCCCCCCCCCCCCCCCCCCCCCCCCCCCCCCCTTCAACTGCCGCGTTTTTTTTTGTGCCCCCCTTGTTTTTTTTTTTTTTTCTTTTTTTTTTTCCCCCCTAAACCCCCCCCCCCCCCCCCCCCAACATGATTCCCTACTTTGAAGTGACTGGTTTATTTTAGCACAGCTGTCTGCTGTCTGTGTTCTGTGGATCCTTGATGTGCCATAGCATCCTCTGCCCTGCTGCTTTAAATAGCAGCCATGCAGAAAATTCAAGGGAGCATCAAAGATCAGAAGGCATTGGTCAGTATGCAGCTGAGGTGAGAACAAAGCAGTCTCTTAGGAGGCGGAGTGGGCACAGATAGAGAACAAGAAGAGGAGTAGATGTGGGAGCTAAAGTCGGGAAATGGAGCCGTGAGTTGTGGAAGTGGGAGAGGAGGAAAGCATTTGTGAAAACGATGTAATTTTAGCAGACCTGAGATTCGCAGGTGTAATGGAATAAAGGATTCGGACGTTGAAGAATGTTTTGTGAAGAAGAGAAACTTGGGATGAATTGAGGTTGTCCCCTTAAGCCTCCTCTCTGTGAGGTGCTCTTCTCTCTACTCTTTCCCCTCCTCCTACTGACTTACATTTGTGAACCCAGAATGCAAATATGCATTTGAATCTCCACAGTAATCCTACCACCTTTTAAGGATTGGGATGTGTACAAAGGGAAACTGCATGTGCTGGATAAAGTAGAGCATGGGGGCTATTTACAGCTCCCTGATTTTCCGGCTCCCATCCCATTGCAGGTTAAGCAGCCTGAGATCTGTTCTAACTTGTGCCAGCTGGCAATAGCTTGGGTGTCTCCCACTCCCTATGCTAGTGACTACAAGGAGTGAGACCAAGGGGACAGTCTACCAGCTTCACACCTGTATTAACTCCCCAATGCTCAGGGATTCCATCCAGCCGGGGACTTAAGGATTCTTCTGTTTCTTGTGCATTGCCTGAGTGGCATAGACAAGCCAAAACATGTGTTTCCATTGCCACTTTCATTATTGATAATGAGCAAATATGATGACGAAATCTTCCTTGAAGAGCGAATAATGGAAGCAAAATTTAACTTCTTCTGATGCTGAGCACTGGTCACTCCAGAATGCCCACTTACGTTAGTACCACATTTAGCTACTCAATTAAAAAAACAACACGTTCTACATGGTTCATTTCTGTATCTACTTGATAGTTCAATGTGATTTGTTAGCAGAAGTAATTTTCAATGCACTAATCAGACTTTGTTTTCTTCTTTGCAGTGTTATTTATTTTTATACTGCACAGGCTGGCGGAATGTCAAATCCTTCCTGACTTTTGGTTTAATCTGCCTCTGTAACATGTATCTGTACGAACTGCGCAATCTCTGGCAGCTCTTCTTCCACGTGACAGTGGGAGCGTTTTCAGCATTACAAATACGGCTAAGACAACCACAAGGGAAATCCCCTGATTACAATGTCTGACCCAAGTCCTGGGATGTCCTAAGGCAGTCTCAGTCCACCCATGGTTCCCTCTCAGGAATGAAAAGCTTTTCTCCAAAAGAAGTGTTTTTTATTTGCTTTTTTTTTTTTAAAGATCAACACAAGATGCCTGTGGACGTTTGTGACTTGAGAACTTAGACTTATCCTCATTGAAGACTGAAGACACACACAATACAGGATTAGTGGAGGAAAATGGGTCCTATCCATGCAGATCATTGTCCCTTGAGGACAGATAAAAGTTTGGAGGACTTGACTGATAGCAGGAAAAAGCCTTCTTCAAAAGTATGATAGTGGAAAAAGATATATATACAGGGCATGTTCTGCATATCAAGTGAGCACTCCAATTCCAAAATCAGTTTTGCCTTTGTGAGGCAGTAGTATAGGCTGAATACAAAGATGCTATTGCATATTAGCAGACTATTGGAACGAGTGCGTTACTAAATGTGAAACTATTGGATTGCACATTAAATTTAATGGGATGCGTGAATGTGTTTTCTTAATTAAAGCCTAACCTGGAAACCATCTGTTTATGGGGATTAGCTCCTTGGTCCCAGTGGCCTTCCATCTAGTGCTGAGTTAACTATAAATCTTGGTAAATATTTTTCTCTGTATAATTTGTTTTTAATGATCTTTTGAAAGTGACCTTTATGGACAAGTTTTATTTAAGTAAATAACCTAAAATTCTGTCTCTTGGCCCTCTTTGCTCTCCTCCTCTATTTGAACACTAGAAGTTTGAAAAGAAGTTGCCAGGTGGGTAAACAAACATTGATTTGAAACCTGTTTGAGCTATTGCTTGTCTCTCTACATTTTATGAGCTGGATTAATAGCTGAAACCTAACTTAGCATATAGGCAACTGGTGGTGAGCTTATTTCCATCAATCATAAACGGAGTTCAGTTTAAAAAAAATCCTTTTTGGATCCAGGGATTTTGTTGGTCTGGTAGATTTACATTTTACTGAATTGGAGTCGAACCTCACTAATGTGTATTAGTGGCTGGGACAGCTATGTAGAGTCCCAGAGTTTGTGAATTAATTAGCAGATGAACAATCAAGGCTATTACATTGCATTCTATTTCTTTTGACAATCATATTTTGAGTTAATTATTTCCAGGGCTTTATAGTACACTAGTAAATATATTTTAATATAGTTTGCTCAAGTAGTGAGGTGTAATAAAAACTAAAGCCTTCAGAAAAGTTTTAATAGCAGGATGGCTTCCACATTGCTTGTGAGCATTACTAGGCTTGGTGATTAGTGAGGTTCTGCTTTACTATGAAATGCTACTCATCAGATCTCTGTAGGCGATCCCCACATAAAATGCTCTCTTCGGTAATTTATTGGCAATCAAGCTGATAGCAGAGAAGTAATACCTAGACTGGGAACAACTATTGTTTTTTTTAAAGGAAGTGACCTTACTCAAGGGGATCCAGGTGCCCAAGACCAAGATAATTTACAGAAAATGGAATCAGTCCTAAATGAACAGCAGTGGTATGTATTTTTTGATGCGCTCTTTGTTATAATGTCTCTTTCTAAGACCGATGTAATTAAGAGGCTGAAAATATCTTGGTGCATGTGGTAGCTAAGATAATTGTTGCAGGAGGTGTGCTTTGCCTTTGAACCTTTTTCCTTTTTTTTCATTCATCCAGCAAATAGAATGGGGATGCATTTGTCTGGTCTTGTATGTTCCCATTATGACACTTTTGTTGGTATTTTGGGACAGTGGGGGAAGGGAAGGAAGGAGGAGGATTTGAAATTTAAACAGAGTGTAAGAGGCGTATCTGCAGGAATACAAGGATTTCAATACTGTTAGTTAAACCCTTAGTTTTAAACAGCTCAGACTACCCACTGCCACACAACACATGTTGCATTAGATTGCAGTGCAGCCTTTGGAAATCAGGACACCTGAAAACACAAAAATAAATCTTTCACTATTTTAAACTCGGGGTTTGAAATATGGATATTGTGTGTTTAGTACAAACTAAAGCTTTCGTCTTTTCAACACACTCCTTTGAGCCAAAAATTCTGAGGTTTTTTGGTTTTGGGGGGGTTTTGTTAAAAAAAAAAAGAAGTGCAAAAATCACTCAGGAACTTTAATTTATTATGCTAATATATTTAGGACCCAATCTGACTTCCAGAGAAGTCAATAGAAAACCTCCCATTGACTTGAATGAGTGCAGGTCCCCTTTAAGCCGCATTCTGATAACTTTAATGGTGCTTAGGTCTTGAGTGAATTTCACCCAGAGGAAATTGGACCAAGGAGTTGCTTCTTGTTAGGAAAACAAGAGGTCATGAAGAAGTAATTGTAAGGGTTACTTATGGAAGCAGCCCAATGGAAGTCGATGGGAATACTAGCATGAATACTTACATGAACACGGGTTGCAGGATTGGGCTTGGTATTTGTAACTTCTGCAGTTAATGAGTTAAATTATTTGCAAAGATAATGCTTTTAGCTTATTATCATTATGACAGTCAGGAAACTAAACAACAATTAGCATTATAAACCTGCTCTGTTGGAAGGTCTAAAATAGTTCTACCACTATTCATTTTGCCTCAGTTGTAGTACTAAAGATGCTACTAAGAATGTACACTGAAGTACCTCTTTGTTCCCAGGGCCGGCTCTAACTTTTTTGCCGCCCCAAGCAGCAAAAAAAAGTGCCGCCCCGCCGTAACACCCCCCCACAGCGCCGCCCTGCCCCGCCAAAACACCCCCCCACCGAATGCCACGCCGCCGAAACCCTCCCCACCAAGTGCTGCACTGCCGAACACCCCCTGCCGAGCGCCGCGCTGCCGAACACTCCCGCCCCCCGCCGAGCGCCGCCGAACAGCCCCCGCTGCACTGCCGAACACCCCCCGCCGAGCGCCGCGCTGCCGAACACCCCCGTCCCCCGTGGAGCGCCGCGCCGCCGAAACCCCCGCTGAGCGCCGCGCCACCGAACACCTCTGCCCCCTGCCGAGCACCGCACTGCTGAAGCCCCCCCCACGCAGAGCACCGCCAAACAGCCCCCGCCACCCCAAGATTGGCCGCCCCTTACCAGGTGCCGCCCCAAGCACGTGCTTGGTTGCCTGGAGCCGGCCCTGTTTGTTCCAGTCTTGTGACCTTATGCAGATGTAGGCTTTTCTGCCCTGTCAGTGGCTGCTGATGTATCAGTCTGAGAAGACTGTTTTTCCTTTTAATCTTTTTCCCTTCCCCTGCTTTTCAAAGGATGCGTTCCCTTGCTGTAACATCTAGAGCCATTATTGCATTACTAGTGGCATTAAACAAACTGCTGATTTAACAGGATGTAATGAGCAAATACAACTGTCAGACAGATTTAACTATGCTTGTTGAAAAAAATCACAATTTACAGTGAAGAGATAATGTCTACTCCCCAGCTGTGACAGTTCCTCACAAATTCATTACTAAACATGTAAGCTAGTAATACATATTAGAAGATGTTCAGAACTGTTTTTGTACACAAACTTCATGTGGGTAGTTAGAATATTTGAACTTTTTCTGTGCACGGGTTTGGAAAAATGCACCATTTGTGTCCTGTTATGGGGTGAAATCCTGACCCACTGAAGTCAACGGCAAAATTTCCCTTGACTTAGTGGGGCCAGGATTGTGCCCACTGGACCTCATCCGATACTCATTGAAGTCAACAGGAGACTTTCCATTGACTTCACTAGATGTTGAATCAGGTTCATGAGGACAGATTCTGTACTGGTTACAGTCCAAGTCTGATTAGAATTGGAGTTGCGCAAGGAAAAGGGCCTGATTCTGATAGGTGCTGGGTACATTCAGTGGGACATCAGTGGAAGCTGAGGCCACTTGGCATCCTATTAGATATAAGCTCTGAGGCAGACTGGATCCAGCATATGTAAAAAGAATGAAAATATTTTCTTTAAACAAAACATGAGTCTGTTCAAATTTGATTAATTAGGAATGTTCAAATGCCTCACTATAGCTTTTTAAAACACACACACTGTTGTTTTTATTGTTTCCCTGTGTGTTTTCTGACCTAAAAGTCCTGACCCCTTTCATGGTATTGTGTGGTCTGTTTTTCATTTATTTTTTAAATACCTGAGTAGAAATGTGAAACTTTTAAAAATCTCTCCTACAGACAGTTAGCTTTTTTGTTTGTTTTTTCTTTTCTCTCCAGCAGCCAACCTTCTCTCCGGCACTGAACAATAACCAGCCCTCTCTCTTTTGTGTTTTTTCTAGCAATCTTTGGTGGGTTAACTACCTAAAGGTGCATTTTAAAATGTAGAATAATATCAAAAGTCTTTTGGAAAATATAGTTTTTTTTTTTTTTTTTTTTTTTTTTGAAGTTTGAGTATGTAGTTGGTAATGTAGCAGATTCAATCCAATCACTTTTTTGTCGTAAAGAACTCATTTTCTCTGCATCAAATGGCTGACTGGAGGTAGAACACTATTGTTTTAAAGTCTGTCAGTTTTTTTAATGGTGAGGTTAGTCAACACCCATTGCCGTATCTTTAATAATTAGTAGTTTCTTTAGCAAAGAAGCAATGACATCTGTTTAGGCTTCTCACCTCTCTTCCCCCCCCCCCCCCACATGAATTGCTTTTTTGAATCCCAGATTAAGTAATAAGTAGAAATGCATTACCATTTACAAACACTAAACATATGCTCTTTTGGCTTGTCACTTGGCAAGACGGTAACAGCAGGAAAGCTACGTTTGTGTAGCAGCCACTCGTAAAAATGCATGTTGTGTGAATGCTTGTAGTATTAGTGGTTTTGCATAATTGAATGTGTTGCAGAGGCATTTTACTTTTTTTGTTGTTTGTTTTAAATGGTAGTGGAAGAAAGCCCCAGTAGTGCTCTGATCCTGCAAATAGCTCCATAAGGGCACAGGAATCTGCCTCTAGAATCCCCAGTAATTTCAATATGGGGCTGCTTGTGTGGATCCATCTGCAGAACTGGGACAAAAAATCTGTAAACTTTGGCATTTCTAAGTGATTTTACAGGGGTTTTACATATGAAATTGTATTCATCATGCAGCTCCATTGACCCAATTGTTAAGTGTAAGAGAGATTGGATAATATGTTGAGAGGATATAATTACTTGTGATGGGGCAAAATTAAGACAAGGAAAATGTAGGCTAAAGATCCTGAAAAACTTCCTGACAATGAGATGGATTAGACTGGAGAATAACCTTCCAGGAGAAGTGGTGAAAGCTCTGTTTCTTGGCCTACAAACATTAGGCTGGACAAAAAACACTGGTACATAGACAGAAGGGAAGAGTCATGCATGGGCAGGAAGATTATCTTGGAATTTGGGGTCTAACTGGACTTTTTCTAGCTCTAGTCATCTGTGAATTAATGTACAGAAATCATTTTAAAGATGAAACATGCTAGCTTAGCAGGGAGTTAAGTCATCACAACCGAGCTATAAATTGTTCACGTTACAAAAAAACTCACTCTTGTCTAATGAGTTGGCTAGAAAAAAGTGACATGAGTTTTTTGGTTTCCTTCAGCTGCTTTTGGTCACTTAAGGTGAGAGAAATTATAGAAGCAGGTAAATATTGGATATAGCATGCCCTTTCCTTAGGAAATTCTACCATGCTGTTGGATTAGATCTAGTCCCTGCTTCTCTCCCATCTCTGATTTTTATGATGCTATGTTTGGTTTTGGTGTTAACATAGTGGATTGCCTGAAGTGTAAAATAGTTTGTTTCCAGCAGATGGCAATATTTGTATACCTCTGAGACTAAAAAAGGGGAAATTCAGATTCTGGTGAGATGAAGCAAGTACATACTGATTGTAGGTTTCTAGTCTAATGCATCCTCCCTCCCCCCGGCACTACAAATAGTACAAGATTCCTTTTATCTTTACCCTGGCAGGGAAATAGGAGGAATTCTATAACCAAAAGGAAATAGAGGTGATTTAATTTATTCATAATGGTTTTTATTATTTTTTTAAAATTGTCCTTGTTTTCTCTGAACAAAGAGGAAACTCAGTAAAAAAAAAACCCCACTATCAATGATATGTTAGGTGCTTAATCAATCTAAATTGATGCTCCTTTTTCAGTAATACTAGGGCCTGACCAGTTAGTGCTTGAAAAATTCTATCTGTAAATCAGCTTATTTGGTATTTTGAGATAGGTATAGCAACCCTGGAGTTCATAATATAAGTCCTAGGGGCCCTGACACCAAGTTGAAATCACCAGGTTCCCCCACACCATGCACAGGGAGAGAGATAGGGCATGGCTACACTGTAAGCTCTCTTATGTACCCACTCTACGCTGCCGGGAGAGAGCTCTCCGGTCAGCTTAACTACTCCCACTGGCAGAACTACCACTACTCGCAGGGGCTGGAGATGCTTTCCTGGTGACATAGCGCTGTCCACACAGGCTCAGGGGTGTGTGTTACACCAACACAAATGGTGGTGTAGACTGCCTCAGGTTCAAGGCCTTGCCCACTGAAAGTGAAAAAGCTCATTAGCTGTGGGGTAGCATCAGCACTTACGTGGCTTGGCTCGTGCCTATTAGCAGCAATACAGACATCGACAGTGTTAGGACAGCAGTGGTGCCTAAATGTTGGGTATGAATACCTATGTGCTTAAATCTCTTTGTGAATCTAGCTATTAGGTGTTATTTTGACGAGAACTAGTTCCCCTTCCAGTTGGCCTGGGGAGTTAGCGTTGTAACAGAATGTGGCATTTACATCAGCCTTGCTCTCAGTTCTAGGAGGTATAGCTTGAACCCCTGTACAGAAGTGACTCATCCTTCTAATGCCTAGGCATGCTAACAGGTCTGTTCCTTAATGTACGTCACACAAGCTAACTTTGAAAGTAGTAGCAAATAAACCATGTGCAGCAAAAGGGTAGCATTGTAGGTAGAGTAGCTATTTCAAAGTAACATGAGTTACTAGCATCTATTTAAATATGCCAGATATAACCAGGCTTTCTGATATTGGCTCTAATTTACCTTAGGTGGTTCAATACACAGCACACACATATAGTGGGGCGTTCATAGTACAAATAAGTGCTAAGAGGATCTGTGCTTAAATAGTCTCACAGTAGATAACCTGGATTGTGCAATTGGTCACAAAACTTCATTCAAATACAGTTCTAGGTTTTCTATACAGAACGCATCAGTTACATTACATTTAAATATGGAACGTCTAAAACTTGTGCATAACTATCATTTGATGCACAAATATGTCTTTTCACGAGCCAGCTAGATCTTAAATAAAACGTAGAACAAAGCCATGTTACCAGTGAAACAGTGTTTAATATAGTTAAATTACTTAAATAGATTTCAATTTCCATGGGAAATCATAACGGTATCAATTTTTATAGGAGCTAAAATAAAGAGCGTGTATACCCCTTGAAATGATCATGACACACTGTCAACAATCGCAGTCAGAGATAGTGGGGACTCGAAATATCATTGACAACACAGCTGCGCAAGGTGGAGCAGCAGACTGATCAAAAGTTAAGAATACAGACTTTAGTAAAGTAGAAAGCAAACCTAAAAATGAATGTACATGATGAAGATGATGAAACCCAGTGAGTGGTAGAAAGGGATAGGGGGGGGGAAGGGAAGGGCGTGGTCATTGTGCCATGTAACAAAAGTATTTTGCAAATCAGCAAATGCAAAGCAGCAAAAGTATAGTACAAGGGCAGACTTGGCAGTTTTACAGAAGTCAATATACTATACTTTTCAAAGATGTGGCCTATTAAAGGGGAAAAGGAAGGATCACAGGGATGCCATTTAAGCTCAAGTTTAAATGGCTGAATGCTAAGCAACATGGTAAATTAATTAGGACAGGCCCATGCATTTTAACTTACTCTTGTTGTAAAAAATAAAGTGAAACACCTATTTTATAAATCACCACTATAGTGCAATCATTAAGTTGTTAATACAGTAATTTTTGCCCTGAGAAGAGTCGAAAAGAACTTCACTGACTGTCAAAATATTTGAGTCATTTTAGTGATAGCCAAATTCAGTATCAAAACTCTCCCCTTATAGAATATAAAAAATAGGGCTTTAAAATGCTTTTTAAAAAATAAAATAGCAAGGGTTTATTTTTTACAAGTTAAAAAAGGTACATAAATCATAACGAATTATTCATATACCTCCCCCTCTAGTAAGAGAATATGTCCAACATGATATCTGTGTCACTCTATTTAAAGATCTCCTGAATCCACATACAAATGATCCATCTGTCTTTTTTTAAAAAGCTAGAATCACCTAACTCTTAAAATAGCTGTGAATCATTTATTTAATTAAATGTTTGCTACAAGATAGTCAACCTGGCAATGCAGTACATAGTTCTTTGTAAAGACAAATGGCACTTAGAGTATCTTGGACACTTTTTTGTATTATCAGGATTCTATTAATAGCTGCTGTGAGAAAATAATAATTTTAAAGGAATTGTAAAAACGATCTTATTTTTGTTCCAGTGTGACAGAGTTTTTGCTACCTTCAGATGAAGATTTGCTTAGTGCTCTTCCCTGTTATGCTCGTCTGATATTCTCAACAGCTCAGTTATTTATCATGCATTCACTGCACTCTTTATCAGCCCCAACTGCATCTTGAATCCTGAAATGAACAGTTGTTTGTAATGATTATTGTACTTGATTTTTTCCTCTTCTGTAGGGTTTTCTGAATTTTCACTTAAAAATGCATCTGACGCGGCCTGCAACCTCATCAACTGTTGTGTGATTGTTTACTCTTAATCTGAAAACTGCCAAGTCTGTATTCAGAGAATAATGCACGGAATGTTACATAGTTCTGCAGGTTATATATACACAACCCACCACACTCGGGTGTGGACAGACTTTTTTCTAATATATATAATTTACAAAATATAGAATTTGGTATATCTGTTAGATCTCCTTGTTTTCAATATTACAAAATAAAAAATACAAAAACAAGAAAGTTGAGGGGGGGGTTCCCCCTAAAGTGTCTCTTGTTTTCATCTAGTCTTTCACATGTAAACTGAGATATATACCAAAGAAGAGCACAGAAGACTTTCATTTAATAAATATGTTTGCAGAGCCATGTTTCCTCATCTTGATCTGAGGTGTACCAGTCCTATTCAGAAGAGTAGCCCGTTAGCCATGTAAGAGAAAGGGGACAGTTTTATAGGGCAAGGTGTCTTTTTCAACCTAAAAAACATTACCGATGCTGTTCTGAAAGGCCCTTTGTGTAGAACAGTGGGTGTCACTTTTAATTTTGAAAGCCTATCAAACAGCTAATAAAAGAATAGGGGTACACTTGAAAGAACTGACCGTATGGAACGGAAATATTATAGGAGTGCAAATCCTTTCCAAAATAATGCTTTGTAGTGAATCATACATTCCTTCAACCCAGTAAAATTTTGTGTAGCTTCAATAAATATTTAAATATCTTATGTCCTGTGCAGCAGCTTCATTTTCAAAGCTCAAATTCATTTCGTTTAGCTGGGAATTCCATAGAGATGCATCTTTGGTCGATTTAGCACTCCACTGGGAATTAATCCAGTGTTTTCTTTCTTCTGCACTGCATGGCATGTGGCTAAAGTTCATTTGCTTGTCAGAACCATGCTCTAAAGTCGTTGCATGAAAAAATGCAACTGCGCTGTACTTTTGGGTCCACAGCTAAACAGCAATTCTTCTCCATGCAAATGCCATTTTTAAAGTTGGTTACTGCTAACTGATCGGCGGCCCTTCGTTTAGGAAGTAGGTGGTCATTTCTCCTTTACCCTTTACCTTAACGACCCCTCGACATTCGAGCTGATAGCCGTTGGCTGCTAAAACCTGGTACATGTCTGTGGTCACCTGCAGAGAAAGAATAGATTAGAAGTGATAGCAGAACCGATAAACTTGCTCGCCCCCACCTCTACACCATCTCTCTTCAGCCACGTAATCCACACATGCAATTAATTTTGGGTGTAATATTTTGTTTTGTTAAAATTCTCTTACTTGTATCAACCAGTTTATAGGAAGGTGGCCAGTACAAGCTGCAAACAATGAGTTTCAAGGTCATATTGGGCACATCAGCTGCTCTCCAGCTGAGGGTCATGATTCTAGAGGCTGGGAAGGAAATATTACTAGCAATTCCATTTCATGGATCCAGTATTCTGCTGAAGTTGATTTGCGGGGGGGAGGCCAGGCTACAAAGGATCACAATATGAAAAAGGTAAGTCAGAGTTATAAGCTTGTCTCTAGAACCCAGGTGAAGTGCTAGGTCATGATCCCAGAGCGGGGGAAGGAAATATCCCATTTCATGTCTCCAGTATCTTCTTACATTGAGGGGGTGGTGCACAGGTCACAATATGAAAAAGGTTAGTCATAGTTAAAGTTAAGATTCCGTCACAGGTATTTTTAGTAAAAGTTACGGACAGCTTGCAGGCAATAAACATCAGCTGCTCCAGCCCCGCCACTGCTTCTGTAGCAGGTGCTGACCATTGCTGCTCCAGCCCCTGGGGGACTGGCCCAACCCCACAGCTGCTCTGACAGGCCTGGGGCTGACCAGCTGTTTGGTGGCACCAGGACTGACTGCTGGTCAGCTGTTCTGGCAGCCCCCATCCTGGCTGCTGCTTCAGTGGTTTCAGAGCCAGCTGCTGCCAGTTGTTCTGGGGGCCACTGCTTCAGGGCTGGCCACCGGCCACCTGTTCTGGCAGCTGCTGCTGCTCCAACAGCCCTGTCCCAGAAGAACTCATGGAGGTCCCAGAAAGTCACAGAATCCGTGACCTCTGTGACAGATTCGTAGCCTGAGTCATCGTACTAAGCTACTGCATCTAGAACCCAGGTGAAATGCTTGGCAGTATTCCTGTGAAAGTAGGGTGCTGTTAGGGAAGTAGGTTGGAAATCCATTTAAATTGTGGACCCTATGAAGTAAACCCTTAACTAGGTTAAATGGATAATACACGGCTCATGTCATTTCTCAGGAAGCTGCATACAATCAATCAAACTGGAAACACACTAGGTGATCAAATTGGGTGAAAGACAACAAGGATTGTTCAGGCACTATCCTGTTTCATGCTGCAGCTTAAGGCAGCTGTCATTCAAATATAACCATTTGCTACATAGAAGAACATTTTCAAGGATATTTAGTTGCCTAAAGAAGCAGTTTAGGCACCGAACTCATTGTGAGTTAGACCTCTAGCCTGCTTAGGCTCTTTTGAAAATCCCACTAGACACCTAGCTACCTCTGAAAAGCTAGACCCAAATCCTTTCCGTTTAGGGCCTATCACCTGACATTTGTACGCCGAAAAGCTGATCCAATCATCCTCTTGCAACATTCCACTGATTTTCCATTGCCTGATAGATCCGGAAATCTAACTGCACTCAATGTGTTAACTATCAGTGTGGGCAAAGAGTCTGATAATTTCCTGAACTCTCCTTTTTTCCTTGAGTATTGTGTTGTATATACGGCATACCCATGTATTTATCAGCTCACAATGCAGCTCATTAAAATATGGTCACTTTGAAAACGCAGAGCTGATAAAGCCCTGTTAAGATCTGATCTACTGCAGACTCTGTTCAGTGCAGAATTTTTCCTTACAGCATTTTCTCATGCTCTGTTCTCTGGATTTAAATGTTTCCACTTCTACCTTCATAGGGCTGGAAAGTCACTAGTCTAGAGAGAAAACTGCTCATGGATATTCTTAGGTAGAAAAGTTTTAATAAATAGTGATCCAGTTAACTCTCAGTTTAGCTGGAAAAAAGCACAAAATCCTCACTTGGATTTGGCACCATTTACTCTTATTATTTTTATACCTCTGCAGTATGGTACTGAGGAATGATGATACACAAACAACTCTTTAGAGAAAACAGGACCGTATGTGCCATGTGACAATGGAAATGAATTGCTGGAAAGGTCACTCTCTTTGAACACTGAACAAGGAGCTTGATTAGAATAAGAAAGATTGCATTAACCTTAAAACTACTCTTTCTCTCCGCTTCTCTAGGGAAATGTCCCCACCCCCATGCCTGTCTGAAATCCTTCTACAGTTTTGAAGAGAGAGTATATATATGTCCTCACAGAATACAGGGTATCACTGTGACAGAGAAAATTAAAGACATTATAGTTTGTGGAAAATGCTGCTTACAACAGATAACAGTATTCACAGAAACAAATTTGTGAGGCAAGTCCTAGTAAACCAAAATAACTGTTAAGATTCTCCTTTCTCTTTAGCAGTGAGGTTGTGTGGCAACAGAAATATAGCCGTATCCTACTCCAAAGGATGTCATATTTTCCAATATGTGTTAACATATTATCTAGTTGCATGGGGCTCAACAATAAAGTCAATGGGGTGTAAGTCAGGGCAGAATTTGCTTCCTAGTATCACTTCCCCCAGTGCTTTAACATTAACCTTCACAACGTCCCTACAGCATACGAACCCCCAACTGAAAGATAGGGAAATGAATGAATTGTCCCAAGACCACAAGATTCAGGATCAGAACTCAGGATTCCAAGCTCCCAATACTGTGCTCAGGCCTAGTTCACTTCTCTCACCCTAAACGTTTGGCATGAACTGATGAAATGAGATAGAAACCTAGATTAGATTGAAAATCCCACAAAAGATACATTATATGTTTTATGGTAATTAAAACTCACCTGAATTCTGTCAGGAACACCTGTACTGTCCATTCGACTGGCTACATTGACTGTGTTTCCCCAGATGTCATATTGAGGTTTTCGTGCGCCTATTACCCCAGCTACCACAGGACCAATATTTAACCCTAGAAACAGAAAATAAACCCCAGTGCTTCAGGTTCATTGTCTATACACCATCACCCAGGAGTCATGTGAGCATATGAATGTCCCAGGGCTAGGCATTTCCCTTTCTAAATCCAGAAATAATCCATAAAACGTTTCAGCTGTGCAATATGTTGTTTTTTTAAAGCTGTGGGAAGATTAGGAGATGTATAGGCCACAGGGAAGAACGGGGTCTTCTATGTGATCATACAGAGTCCTGATGAGTTCCCTAGCCTAAATATCACTTTAGGGGGTTGTCACACTCCTTTCCTTCTCATGTCTTCCCCTATTTTTAAAGGAAATTTAATGTCCAAGTCAGGTGATAGAATGACAGGCCTTGAGACTGAAGTCTGTGTCCACATAGCAGGTGTATCAGGGCAGCAACAATGGAAGATTCCCAGTATGGCTCAGATGCCAGCATGCCTCAACCTTTACACAGTAAGAGCCTCTGTGACTGTTCAATCTGGTGCCAATTCTAGTGGTGGTTTTCATAATGTGGACACTTGTCCTCAAAGAACTGGACAGACACCATTTTGTATGGACCAAAGAAAAGCATCATCACTAGTTTTCTGTCATCACAGGCCAGATTCATTGGAACCAGCGAACTTGTAGGTTTTAAATATAAATTAAGCTGCACTTTTAACTCTAGATGAAGTGGCCAGGTTGGAATGAACATCAATAAAAATTAATTCTGTAACCTCAATCCAAATACTTTACCTATTTTCATCTGGAAGTTGTTGAACGAATGCTCATTAATGTACTTCATTTGGTCCATTAACTTCATGGCAAAGTCAGCCAGAGCTTTGATGTGTGATTTTCCCACCTTGTCATAAGTAGAGTCATTGAGGCCTGAAGCAGCCATGTACGTACTGCCAATGGTTTTGATCTTCTCCAGCTGCCGAAATTGGTCTTCACTTATTATCTGTTTAACAGAAAGAGAGTAAAGTTACTGAATAAGACTTGATGCAAACTAATACATGCTGTTTAACTCATCCTTACAGCAACACAGTATGGCATGGCACATCCACTATGAAAAATTGTATCAAGTGTGTCCATGACTCAGAGAGGATGTGGTCAGAGTCCATGGAGCTCCAGCCAGGTAACAATATGCAATATAGAAGCTCCCCGACTTACGCAAGAGTTCCGTTCTGGAACGCCTTGCGTAAGTCGAATTTTGCGTGAGTCGGGAAAAAAACTCCAAAAAATATGAAAAAAAAAAAAAAAAAAAGCTTACGGAACTTTTTCCATAAGTCTGGTTTTCCGTAAGTCGGGTTTGCATAACTCAGGGAGCATCTGTACACAAAGGAAGGGAAATTATTTAGTGCTGCAGAAGAGGGTAAGGAAAAGAAAGTGACCATAAACTAAAACAGGTTAAAGACTGAGAATGTGTGTGATGAGGACTGGACTGGTCCCATTGCTGGTTGACTTCCTTCTTGTGAGGGAAGGGTTGAACTGATTCTGTTTGCTCTGTCAGTAGAACTCTAGCAAGATTAAAAGTCTGGATATCCTCTCACTCACTTCATCAAAGTCTGCAATAATTTCGTTGAGGAGCCTCAGACATTCCACCCCTTCGTTGTTTGCCTCTAACTCCACGTAGAACTCCGAAAAGTTGCTGATGGAGGCAAACATGACAGCCACGCACTCACAGGACTGATAATACAGCTCATCGTTTCGCCGCTCTTGTGCCAGGAAATGGGCTGCCACGTCCTTTGGCAAGATGTTGTGGAGGAGGCGTCTATTGTAGGCCTGTAGCTCCTCCATTTCCTCTTTCTCTTCAGTGGCCTAGTTGAGAAAAGAGAAAGAGTCGTGCTGGCCATTCTAGTTACTACTTGGGAGGAGAGAGATCTGCAAGTGAGCTCACAGAACCAGAGAGCAGAATATTAATACACTTTAGGGTACGTCTATACTTACCTCCGGGGCCGGCGGTAAGCAATCCATCTTCTGGGATCGATTTATCGCGTCTTGTCTAGACGCGATAAATTGATCCCGGATCGATCCCGGAAGTGCTCGCCGTCGACGCCGGTACTCCTGCTCCGCGAGAGGAGTACGCGGAGTCGACGGAGGAGCCTGCCTGCCGCGTCTGGATCCGCGGTAAGTTCAAACTAAGATAGTTCGACTTCAGCTACGTGAATAACGTAGCTGAAGTTGCGTATCTTAGTTTGAAGTGGGGGGTTAGTGTGGACCAGCCCTTAGAAACATGGTCATACTTGGTATAAACATTTGCCCTGTTTTTGAGCCTGCTCAGCTCCCACGAGGAGATCATTTCAATAGGGCCAGAGTGGAATCAGCACCTCACAGGGTTGTACCCTTTGTCCCAGGGCAATCCAGACCTTGAAAATCCTTAAAGACAAGCTGTCCTGTCCCTTGGGTAGTTATTTACAGCCGCGCAAAGGTCAGTGTAAAATTCTATCACTGGTATACGGGAGGAGAGAAGGACGGGGGTGGGGAGGAATGCCAGAACTGTGGGGTGTGGGGAGGAGATGCTGGAGCTGTATGGCTGTGAGGCATGTGCAAGGAGATGGAAGTGGAGGAAGCTCAGGGATGTTTATATGGGGTACCAGGAGTGGGTGAGATAAAGCTGCATGTGTGGGGAGGGATATCAGAAGGAGGCCTGTTCTGGAGGCCAGAGTTGGGGGGAGAGGGGGGTGTGTGTGTGTGGGGCGGGGGGGGGGGTACTGGACCTCAAACCAAGTTGTTTGGTTTGCTCCAAAGCTTTTCTCCATCTTATTGCATACGGATCCAAAGCACTAACACTGCTGAACTGTGTGGGTTTCCTCCTAACCATCTGCACAAAGCCTCAAGAGTACATTGCCAGGATATCTCCTTCCAAGTCTGACTGCAGAAGTGATATTACAATGTAATCCCCCTCACAAAAGCTCATTACTCAACTAAACAAAAGGAAACTCAGTTTGCATGAGGGTTGCCAGTACACACGGATGCTCATGAAATGTAATTACAATTGAGCTTACACAAAATCAAGCTAGTCTATAGCTCTGGTCTGGTCTACCCTCTCAGCGAACCTGTTCAGAGTTACTGTATTATAAGAGAGATCTTCACCATAGGAGTGCAATGGCCAGCCCACCCTGTGCTGGCCAGCCAGAGTCTGGAATAGATGACCTTCAGGTCAGTCTGCAACGTCTGTCTGCTTTCCCAGGTATTTTCAGAAGAGGAGGAGTATGTTTGAGTGGATGGGAGGTTGGGTTGAAAAAGTTTGCGGGTTGAGGAGGGGTGTTAGTTTCTGGACATTGGCCCAGCATGCATGGATTTTAGGAATATTATTTAGATGAAACGGAAGCTGTTGGATGGATGTACTGTCATAAGACGAGGCGGATACAATAAAATAAGAGTATAAGCTCACTATATGACTCAGACTTCACGGATAATCTTTCTGAGTTCTCCTTGTAGACCTAATCAGTACCAGCTTTGCAGTCACTGAACACTGATTTAACTGGAGATGCTCCTGTGAGAACGGCATCAGACCTGCATATATTGTGCCTCTTCCATCACTACCATCCGGTAATCGCTTTCTTCCCTCCCCACCCCCCTGACAAATCACAAAACAAAAGGAAAGAAGGAAATCTGTACGGGTAGCAAGTGTGAACCGTGTGGCTAATACACAATAACCACAGAACTGCCCTGCTCACAGCAACACCAAACAGCTGTCCCAGATACATGTGTGCTTTCACTCCTCTAGAAACCAGGACTTCAGTGATGGCCTCCTGAACCTGATTTATACAAATAAAGCCACTTCTGGAATGTGATATTTCCAGGTCTGACATGAAACACAAGAACATGGAATCCTGCCTTTTAAAAAAATTAAGCCACAAAACATTCATAGGCTCTAAATATATTAATATACCCAAACTCCGACAACCATACTTCTGCAAGCTGCAAACTAAAGCCTACCCAACTTGGTTTCTGCTTATATTTCAGAGGTGGTTTCTGTGTTTGTTTACATAGAGATCAAGGGCTAAAAGAAGCATAGGTCTCTGATAACTTTTGAAAGCTGTACAGACTCTTTCTGCTGCCTGCCTCTGATTTCAGAATTCAGCAGCATGGTTAAAGAAAACAAATGGTGCCTTGCTATATGACCTTTGGCAAGTGGCCTAACCTGCCTGTGCCTCAGTTTAGCCAGCTGTAAAATGGGGATAACGCTTACCCCCAATAAATTAAGTATCATAGCATCCCTGTAGGTAAGGTACGTCAAGTGCTTTAAGACCCTTGAATGAAAGATGCTACAGAAGAGAAGAGCATTATTGATCTATCGGATTGAAGGCAATGTCCAGCTTGAATTCATGGGCATTTGATCACACTGTCCATCACTGTAGGGCAATATTTTGCATTATGAAACACAACTTCATTGCATTATGCAAACACATACAGCACCCACCCACCTGCAGTTTCCAAAGGAAGTCGAGCCTTGCTGTGGATTCCACCTGCTGGGCATGCAGATATAATGCCAGGACAAAAACAGTTATGACGATAGGGGTCACAATCTTCAGTGCCACTCTCGACGCTTTCTGGGAGCTAGAGTCAAGGAGAAGACAGAAGCTTGTGAATATTCTCGGCCCTCTGCTCCTGACCAGGAAGAACACAGCTGGAACTGTAAACTCCATTTCTCTCTTGAAGGCACAGTTGTGCAACCTAACATTTGTTTTGCAAGAGCAGTGGAGGGAATGTTCCTGACTTGCCATTTGAACAATACTTGTGGTCGCTTGCAACCTTTGCAGTTGATAATTGGTTTCAAATATGACATCTGAAACTGGAGATTAGATTTAACTTCTTAAAGGGACATTGTCAATATAAAAGCCATCTCTAAAAAGCCATTAACACAACACTATACTCGGTAAAACTGAAATAATTTTAAAAATCTGGTTTACTTAGCACCATTTATGCTTTTTTTCCTTCCCCCATTAAGCTTGGACAGTGAAACTAGACTGCTCAGTTTCAAGTTGTGTGTGGTTAATATCTAGTCAATCTCTCTCTCTTTCATTTACAATTATTAAAAAGTTACACTTCATGGACATTTTAAAATACCTCCTCTCCCTCCCAAAAATCCCCTTTTGAATTTAAAATTATGAAAACATTAAAATAAAACCTTCAATCTTTTTAAAAAAACAAAATCTACAAACTGGACTAGTAACTAATTGGCATCATCCCTTTCAGAATACGCTCCAAGAACAGGCATACATGCCTGGTCAATATTCAGCACCTTTAAAGTATCTATACTTTATTGTGCCAGGTCATGAAAGCAATGACAAGAACTAGCAGAAGCCTTGCTATCTGTGACTCAAACATAGAATCATAGACTATCAGGGTTGGAAGGGACCTCAGGAGATCATCTAGTCCAACCCCGTATTCAAAGCAGGACCAATCCCCAGATGGATTTTTGCCCCAGATCCCTAAATGGCCCCCTCTGGGATTGAACTCACAACCCTGGGGTTAGCAGACCAATGCTCAAACCACTGAGCTATCCTACACCTCTGCCTCTATTATATTTTTGTGAACATTTTAAAAGGCAATTTTTGGCATGAAATGTGAAAAAAAAAGAAACTCACCATGTTGATGTTCCATTAGAGAACTCACTGGAAAAAAAATCAGACATATTTAAGGTGAGTATTTTGGTTTGATCTCTTCAGGAGTAACACAAAGGTCTTTTTGACATCACTGAGTAATCTCTTTACAGTCTTGCAGTTTTAACACTATGTGGCGCTACAATCCTTTTAAACAGTATGTCATTACTGGTCAGTAGTTAAATTGAAAGGTGCAGAATGATGTTATTACATTAATTTCCCTTGAAGTGAGAGTGTGAATTAAACATACATTATGTGTAAAGATCACTGGGAAAGTTAATTTTCAGAAGGCTGTCCGGGATTTAAAATCCAATGGAAGGCGCTTGGCAAAAGCCTGTGTATGTTTCAGGACATTTTGTCGCACTAAATCCAGCAGAACAACTTGCTTTAAAGCTGGAGGATTTGGAAAAAGATGTTCCGAACTACCAGATCCATCTTCCCAATTCATGAATTCTTTAATATTAAAAAGGAGCTTATAATAATAATAATAATAGTGGTAATTTACGTAATTATTGCAAATGTCAGTGTGTTGTAACAGGAATCATGAATTTGCGCTGTAGCTACCATGTGGTGGCAGGATCTAATTGGGCCTGAATCTTCCACCCACTGAAGTTAGAGGCAACCTACTGTTGACATCACTGGTTCAGGAATAAGCACACTTGTCATACACACTCATTGCATCTAATTTTCAAATAGATTCTGAATACTTCGGGCAGGAATGCCTGAGATTGCTACACATGCCATGTTGTACGGTATGATATCTCTGGATCCACTAAAAGCACATTAGCACTGCCCACCCCATCCTGCAAGGCATTCAGTTACCAACGCGAAACGGTGTTATAACATAGTGCAAGCGCCCGCACTATACACATGAACGTTAGCAGGAGAAAGGACTTCTTTTAAGTAAACCAGGGTTCTCAACCTGTGGCCCACAGGCCGCTTGCGCCCAATCAGCACACAGCTGTGGCCCATGTGACATCCTCAGGCCCATATACAGGTAGTATATATATTGTGTGGATGTAGCCCACATAACACAGAGAGCTGCATATGCGGCCCACAATGGAAAATAGGTTGAGAAACACTGAAGTAAACTTTAAGGGCCACTTTAGACACCAGTTTGCATTACTAGTACTGTGCTGGGTAGGCTGCAAAAGACATCAATTTAACAGAGTTGTTGGAGAGGGCGGAGAATATGCTCCTCTTACAAAGAAGGGGTGGCAAGGCACTTTCTTGTGAGTAGCTGGCTGGCAAGTTCCTGTCTGATTGTTTGTTTCATGTTGCCGGGGTTAGGCTGTAGTATGAATGGAGTGTTCAGTGTCTAGCACCCTATATAGGTGGCTTTTCTTTTTTAACTCTTTACACAAAAATAAATCAATGATTATTATTATGGTGCCACTGGTGTGCTTGGTGCTTTACAGGCAAATCAGATGACATAACCTTACCCTGAGACCTTACCATATCCCTGAATACGTTGGGCTAAATTATTCTGCCATTTTGTTATCCTGAGACTAAAGCTACGTCTACACTTAAACCACTACAGCAGCACAGCTGCAGCGCTTCAGTGTAGACACTTGCTACAACAACAGATGTTCTCCCATCGCTGTAGTTAATCCACCTCCCTGAGAAGCAGTGGCTAGGTTGACAGAAGAATTCTTCCCACCAGGGATTAGATCGGCAAATATATCGCTCAGGGGCTGTGGATTTTTCACACCCCTGAGTGACGTAAATGGTTCAACCTAACTTTTAAGTGTAGATGTGAACTAAGAAGAATATTTGACTTCTCGCTCTAGAATTAGAGATAGAATCCACCAAAACCCAAGAAGCATAGTGAAAAAACATTCGGTTCCATAATCTTATTTCTTACAGAAGATTTTCTGCTGTATTGAGACCAGGGTTCCCTCTCATTTTGATTTATAAATACGTCTTTATCTTGCACATTATTCATATCAGACTTCTTAGCCACTTACTCTGCTACACCAGCAATAAACAGGGTCCAGGCTGTATGTATCAGTATACACAATTCAGGAGCTTTGGACATTGCTAACCTTGGCTGTTAATCATAGTGAAACGGTGATTTATAATAAAGCCCTGGTGAACAAAAAAGCCTGCTGCCACAAACAATGTCTTTCTATTAATAGGTTGAGGGAGACTCATGTTTTGTGGCAGGAATATTTTACAGAGTTTGCACTGATTGGAACAGCAGAAAAATGTACTATCCAACCAGGTTAGTGTATTTCCCATCTGAGGGCAGTGGATGTATATGGGGGTAGATTCTCCCCTGTGGCGAGGCTCTACCTGGCACAGGATAGGTGTGGTGAGAGACAGAAGAGGCCATCAGGGTGCTTGTTGTGTGACTCCCAGATCCTGCAATACCTGCTGCGGATGTAAGTGAGAGTAGCTCTTCGGCTGCTCTAATTCACATCACAGGCATAAGGCGACTTAGGAACCTCACACTAATAGAGGACTGGCATAGCAAAGTAGGACGAGTTAAGTGGGGTGTGTGGGGGAGATGACCAAACGGGGAGACTTCCTAACCTGAGCTTGAAACTTCAGGAATGTCCCTTGACAAAAGATTCAGCCAGGAGGCATGTATTAGATGGGTGCAACATATACATGCAAGTGCTTGGTCGGCCTGACCGCTGGGGTTCTCAGGAACACAGGCATTCAGTAAGTATTGAAAGATTCGGCCAAGCTCGCTCAGTCATTACTGTTAGTTTGTAACAATGTGACACAGAGGCCCATTGGTGCCTGCTGGCCAAGGGCTCACTGCTCTGTGTCAACAACTGCTAGTAGGCCTGACAAACTCATTACACCTAACATGCTGCTTTTGCTGTAATTATTCCCACATAGTGTCTTGTTAGGTATCAAATGAAAGCTGGTGTCATGCTGGGCATTAATATCAATGTGAAATGTATGTACTGATGATATTTAAAAAGTTATGTACAGAAAATATATCCTGAGCATCTGTATCAAAGGTCTGAGTCACCAGCAGGGACAGGTTCTCTCTCAGCACAGGGGTATTTGTACAGCTAGCTAATTTACATGTAAGTAAAGCCTTGTATTGTTTCACAACGGGCCTCCCGTCACTGGTTAGAACTGAATGCTAATAAAGAACAGAGACATGTGAAGTCAGCATGAATTCAACAGGCACCAGAGAAAAACAGGCTTTGTCACCACTTAAACCACTCCACTAGCGCATCAGTGTAGACAGGTTTTCCCATCGCTGTAGTTAATCCACCTCCCCAAGAGGCAAGTAGCTAGGTCGATGGAAGAATCTGTCTGTCAACATGTCTACACCGGAGGTTTGGTTGGTATCATAGCTTCATCTCTCAGGGGTGTCGATTTTTCACAGCCCTGAGAGATATCGCTACGCCTATGTACGTTTTCAGTGTAGACCAGCCCCTAGAGGGTTTTACTGACTCTGGGGACAAAATCACTGACTTTGGGGGGATATAAGGGGAAGGCAAAAGGACACATCACTTGGTCCATCACAGAGGGCGCACAAAGGACAGGGCTTTTGCACCCATGAACAGTGGATCCAGCCATGTGGGTTGATGATGCTGGGAGAAAGGTTTAGGTGAGCTTTAGACAAGGATTTTAGCCGTTAAAGTTAAGTTTAGACTCCAAGAAGCGGGTTATACTTTTTATTTCATATGTAACCATTCCTGTTTCCATTAACCTTACTCAGCATCTCTTAAATCTTAATCTTTGATGATAAACTTATGATTGTTTCACTCTATCTCCATGCTGTGGTGTTATAAAGGACCTGATCCTAAGCTGGGGACCTGATCAGTGAAGCTGTGTGTATACTGTTCCCTTGGGACTAGTTACTGTGAGTGTCCAGTGCCATGGGCTGGACACTACAGGGGGACACTTCAGAAGAGGAGCTCAGGGACTGAAGTACACCAAGTGTTAACCTGCAAGGCAAAGTAAGGGTTGGCAGAGCCCTGAGGAGACTCTTTGAGTGGCCAACAGACTGAGAATGTCAGGGAGATGACACCCAGTTGAGCACCAGCAAGTCTCTCTCTGGCTGAGGAAGGGGGATAATCAGGTGACTCACAATCCTGGACACACCGAGAAACCATCACAAACAAGTCTGGGAAAACTGGGGGAGTTCCAGAGGAATGGAAAAAAGCTAATGTTGTGCCACTATTTAAAACGAGAAAATGGGATGACCTGGGTAACTAGACTGGTTAGTCTGACATCAATCTCAAGCAAAATCATGGAAAGGCTAATATGGGATGCAACTGGTAAAGAATTAAAAGATGGTAGTTTAATTAAAGGCAGTCGACATGATTTGATGGAACATAGGCCATGTCAAACAAACTTGATGCTTGATGCGATTACAAAGTTTGGGTTGTAAAGGTGATTTTTGACATAACATTCTGATAAAAGAGTAAGAACTATACCAAATCAATGTAACCCATACTAGATGGATTAAAAAGTGGTTAGCTGACAGATCACAAAAAGTAATTGTAAATGGGGAATCATTATCCATAGGAATATAAGTCATAGGACTGGAAGGGACCTCCTGGGTCATGGAGTCCAGTCCCCTGCTAGCACAGAAAACACCATCAAGTAATCCTTTTAATAAACATATCAAACTCCATCTTAAAACTAGTTTGGTTGTTTGCCTCCACTACTCCTACTGGAAGAAGGAGGGGATGTTTCTAGTGGATTTTCACAGGGACTGTTCCTGGCCCCATGCTATTCAATAGTTTTTAGCAATGATCTGCAGAAAACATTAAGTCATTGCTAGTGAAGTATTCGGATAACACAAAAATTGTTGAGTGGTAATTAATCATGGGAACAAGTAGGTAATACAGACCAAGCAGGATTGCTTGATAAGATGCACTTCTTTGGGCAACATGCGTAGGAGCAGCCCTAGGCATTTTGCCAACCAAACAATTTCAACGACCCCCTCTCCCAAAGCGGCAGAGAAAACAAAATAATGGCCAGTCAATCAGCGGAGGAGGGGAAAAAAAAGTCCAGTGGCCCCTGGAAGTTGGTGCCCAGGACACCCGCCCTGCTCAGCCAGCCCTGGAACCAGCCCTGAATATGCATTTTAAACAGAGCAAAATGTGAGGTCGTACATCTAAGAACAAAAAACACCGTTCACATTTACAAGATGGGGGACTGAATCCTGGTATGTAGGGACTCTGAGAAGGACTGAGGGATTATGCGATATAATCAGCTGAACATGAGCTTCCAGTGCAATGCGGTAGCTAGTCAGCAAATGCAATGCTTGCATGAATAAACAGAGGAATAACAAGTGGAGTACGGAGGTGGTATTACCTTCTGCGTACGGCATTAGCGAGACCATTACTGGAATACTGCATCCAGTTCTGGCGTCCATACTTCAAAAAATATGTTGATAAATGGAAAGGGTTCTGCAAAGAGCTACAAGTACAGTTCAAAATCTTATAATGAAAGGCTGAAGAAGCTTAATCTAGTTTATCCAAGAGGAGGTTAAGAGATAACTTGATCATAACTACAAGTACCTACGTGGGGAAGAGATTTCTGATAGTAGATGGATCTTTAGTCTAGAGAAAAAGGCATAGCAAAATCCAATGGGTGGAAGCTGAAGCTAGACAAATCCAGAATAAACCTAAAATGAAAATTTCAAAATTGAGGAGAATCAACCATTGGTGCAACTTACCCAGGAACATGATGTACACTCCATCTCAAGACTGGATGTCGTTCTAAAAGATATGCTTATAGCTCAAGCAGAACTGTAGGCTTGATGCAGAAATTACTGGGTGAAGTTTTCTGGCCTACGTTATGCAGGAGGTCCGACTGGATGATCATATCGATGCCCTTTGGCCTTAAAAGCTATGAGTCTATGAAGTTAATTTTATCTCCCGCATGGCAGATGAGTCTTACATAACACTAGCTTTGCTCTTCTAGTTATAATTCAAGTGTCATGATGCTGGTGTGTCGTTGTAGTCATGTCTAGTAATTCCCAGTGCATTACTATCAGTCTTCAGTTGCTTGCATGGTGGGATGGTTTGTACCCAGAAGTACAAAGTGACATCTGTATAGTTCCTAATTAGTGAATGTACTCTAAAGCCTGCAGAATAGACAGTAATTATATAACTACAACAGGAGTCCAATTAAAGTATCATGAGGCAGTGTTTTTTATGTCAGCTGGACAAGATGGTACATCTCTAGATTGTGTATTGTACACTGACTACCCATCTCTCATAAGACACAAATGGATTGCTATGCTTTGGGGTGTTAGCTGCTAATGGAGCTTTTAGTGGAAACAAAAATCATTTAATGAGAATACAGCAGCACAGAAATTTCTTTCTGGGAAAAACTGCTGATTTCCTCCACCTTATTACTGACATTTTGATTGCGGAGTGATGTAAATTACACTTTTAAGTTCTGTAATCTTGCAGAACGCTAGGTTTACCAAGAATGTGATGACTTTTTGGGGTATAAAATGCTTTTTTTCTCCTAATTATGTTTTTACGTTATTTCTTCAAACAGGCAAAGCTATTTAGGGATAAATTTTCTCCTAAAAGAAGGAAAAAACAACCTCAAAAGAGATTAATTGCACCAAAACTACTGACAATGAACATGGCAAAGAAGCGATACGAGTGCCACTTGACTTCCTACACGATTTTGTTTGCTTATGCTAACAAACTATTTGCAATGATTCCACTGTAAATTTAAAGGAGAACCTATAAAATCATAAATTATTATTGGACACATAATAATGCTAATAAAAGTGGTTTTGAGTGTTATGAGAATTGAGCATGCCCAGCTCGAAAGAACCAATGGACTTCAGAAAAGACATGAAACCATCCGTGTGGGGTAGTTGTCTCCATCTCAAATGTGGTGAAATTAGGACAGATGAACATGTAAGAAAACAATGGAATATGTGGTGGACAACTCAGGAGGAGAGTGTATGTGTGTGGTCTGTGTGTGTGTGTGTGTGCGCGCGCGCCCACCCCTCTCTCTCCTCTCAACATCTTGAGGAGATTCCATGATCAGTGGAAGGAGGTTTGTTCAGCAGCATTAGTGCAAGCTTCCCTCACACTGTGCTTCAAAGCCCTGACCTGGAGGGACCAATGCATCTGTATAGATAAAAGGATAGCTTTCAGTCCCACTTAGTCCTTGGCCTATTTGCAGAGATTGAGAGTTAATGTCACCGTTGGTGTTGGCTTTTGAGATGTGGACATTAGGAACAGGGCGGAGATCACAAGGCAGACATCAGATTATAGCAATTTTGAGTCCCTACTAACCTGGGCTGGATTTGAAGCAACAACCCAGAGGTGAAATCCAGCACCCCATTATTTCATTACCAAGGGCTTGCCTAGTGGAATAGTTAGTGCATGGTAGGCTGGGGTGTAAATCTACCTCATACTAGCCTGCCAAGCACTAATGGTCCACGTGTACCCTTCTGCCCCACACTAGAAGTTCCCTAGTGACCTACTCTCATTTCAAAGCTGGGTATCTCTAAGACCACTGAAACTCCTAGTGCATGGTACCAAGTTTCACAGGGACAGTTGTACGCAGCGCAGTAATGCGAGCTAGCTTTAAAGCCCGGCCTGCGGTGCGCTGACTGTTCATTTGATGAGCCCCAACTCTCTGAGCCATTCAGACTCTGTTGTTATTTTTATTTTTGAAGTAGCCATTTCTGTCTTGATAGTGTTGAAGAGTCTTATGCTAGCAATCAGAACAGCTAACAGCCTCCATTTTAAGGGGGAAAAAATTCATACTCATTCCAATTACGTTTTGCCAGTAATATTTGATCATTACCGAGAACCTGACAACCAGGTTTAATCTTCAGGAGAAGATTTCTAAGGTGTGAGATGCCTGTGAGATGGCATGGAGATAGCAACAGTGATGGAGCCTTAATTTGTTGTGACTTACACGTCAGTACTGCAGTTCCATAGTTTATGCACTGAAGACTCAGAAACCCAGTCTTCCTAGTGATATGGAGGCATCATTGGGAGTCAATATGATGGAGGAAGACATTTTGAAAGTGAAATCCACTTACACAGTGTTGGCTGCAACCAGAAGATCTGCATTGTCAAAGAGGTTTACCCCTGGCACCTCCACAATGAGAACGTATATGAATTCGATGATCAACATTAGGATCAGTTTCCCGATGCAGCTGATCTGAAGGAACACAGAGCAGGCCAGGAGACTCAGTAAGACACTGTAGGTAAAATACTGTGTAAAGATAAAAAAAGAAAACAGGAGAGAGATAAAACTCAGTAGGACAAAGCAAACCAAAACTAAGAGACATAACAGACCATATAGAGGGAGTAGTAACCCTACCCCTGAGCTAAATGAACACTTAGACTGAAGGCCAAGGTGTGTGTGTGTGTCCAGGAGGTAGCAGAAAGCACCATCACATGAATATTACAGTAAAATGCCTAATGTTCTAAGGCCAGATTCTGCCCTTGGTTATACCTGTGCAACGTCATGGAACTTAGTGGAGTTGGAGCAATAGCCACATCCGTCCCATACTTTACCAAGCTCAACGTGCCAAGCAGAGTGGAGGGGATGGAATCTTTCCTCATCCGGCCATGGAGCAGCACGGCTCAGCTTCAAGGCTGCAATAGCATCCTCGGCCTGCAAAGTGGATGCACTAGCCCTGCTCCCACTCCACCCCCATCTGCCACGTCCAGATAGACGCGGAGTATCCTCAGTTCCCATTATACCTAATTCTGCTCCCCGTTCTCTACACAGACCACACGGTAGGTATGTCTGCGGGTTGTAGAGTACACACACTGCACACCTAGCTAACATGGGTATAAGCAGCAGTGTAGATGGTGAGGCACGGCTTAGGGGAACAGAGTAGAGGGCCCTATGTGACGCTGGCAGACCAGGTGCCAGGTCTTTGAAAGGCTTTAGGCCTCAGCCAAGCACTGACAAATTCATTGCTGGAAACCAGTCTGTTTCACCTGTGTGGCAGTATAGTTAAGATGGGTATTGGACTTATAACAATGTGTTTAGTCTTTATGAAATGTTTGTGAGTTGCTGCATGTATTAATTTCATTTATTTCTTTATCACCTGCCGTCAGGTAATATTTAAGTTTTTGCTTTGTAACTGTAAAAAATGTTTGCTCTAAAACTGTGAACTCAGACAGAAGGGATGTCTGCTGCCCATCAAAAAGGCCTATCAAAACTAAATGAGCCATTGTGGGACATCACAATACAGACTTTGTTAATTGCCCCTGGACACCTATAAAGAAACTACATGCAAAAGGGCTCATCCCATCAGCCTCAATTCTGGAAAAAGAAAAGAAAAATATCTAAGAGGAAATTTTTTCTTTTTTTTTGCTGTTTGGACTCTCATAGGGCTGGAGCTATGAAATAGAAGCAGAGATCCAAGGATGAAACTGGATTAGCCCTAAAAGACATTAAACTCTTATAGATTTCTACAACTCTGTCACCTTTTGGAACCATAGACTGTAACTCAGTTGTGTATATATGTTGCCTGCTTTAACCTTGTAATAAGTCTCTCATTTGTCTTAGTTAACTAATCCTTAGATAGCTTACTATAGGACTGGCTACAAGTGTTGTCTTTGGTGTGAGATCTAAGGAGCAAATTGATCTGGGGTAAGTGACTGGTCCTTTGGGACTGAGAGTAATCTAAATATTGTTGTGATTTTTGGTAAAGTCACCATCTATCACTAAACTCAGCTTGCCTGGGTGGCAAATGAAACTGGAATGCCCAAGGGGACTGTTTGTGACTCCCTGGTAAGACTGGTATAGTGCTTCAGGAGTTCACACTTGCTACTAGGTTGGTGAAATCTAATTATAGAACATACAATCAGTTTGGAGTCTCTGCCCTGCTTCTTGACAGTCTGCTCTGAGGTCGGCACTCATGGTTGTGAGCCATTCCAGACAGCGTGACACCCGACACACCTGAATGCTACGCATGGATGGTGAGTGGAGCCCCCCTTTGGGGAGGCTAGCCCCTGGCTCTGCCTCTTCCACCCACACCCCTTGCTCCTGGGCCAGAGCCCCGAGCACCCTACCCCTCGGCCGGAGCCCCAGGTTGAATGAAGCACTGAGCGCCCTCCACCTGCCCGGAGGAGCCCTGAGCCCCCCACACTTGCCTGGAGGAACCCCGAGCCCCCCATCACCACCTGCCTGGAGGAGCCCCAGGCCAGTCGCAGCCACGCCTCCCCTCCTCAGACCCTAAGCTGCTCAGAAAAAGCCACAGCAGCTCTTCCCGAAGAGTCCTGCACTTAGGAAGGAAGAATCCCAGGCACTGCTACAGGCTGGGGACCGACAGACAATGCAGGAGTACTGCAGAAAAGGACCTGGGGATTACAGTGGATGAGAAGCTGGATATGAGTCAGCAGTGTGCCCTTGTTATCAAGAAGGCCAATGGCATATTGGACTGTATTAGTAGGAGCACTGCCAGCAGATTGAGGGAAGTGATTATTCCCCTCTATTCGGCACTGGTGAGGCCACACCTGGAGTATTGTGTCCAGTTTTGGTCCCCTCTCTACAGAAGGGATGTGGACAAATTGGAGAGAGTCCAGCGGAGGGCAACGAAAATGATTAGGGGGCTGGGGCACATGACTTATGAGGAGAGGCTGAGGGAACTGAGGTTGTTTAATCTGCAGAAGAGAAGAATGAGGGGGGATATGATAGCAGCCTTCAACTACCTGAAGGGGGGTTCCAAAGAGGATGGAGCTCGGCTGTTCTCAGTGGTGGCAGATGACAGAACAAGAAGCAATGGTCTCACATTGCAGTGGGGGAGGTCTAGGTTGGATATTTGGAAACACTATTTCACTAGAAGGGTGGTGAATCACTGGAATGGGTTGCCTAGGGAGGTGGTGGAATCTCCATCCTTAAAAACTTCTAAGGCCTGGCTTCTTAAAGCCCTGGCTAGGATGATTTAGTTGGGGTTGGCCCTGCTTTGAGCAGGGGGTTGGACTAGACCTCCTGAAGTCTCTTCCAACCCTAATCTTCTATGATTCTATGAAGAAGAACCTGAGCTTTTGATATTTCCCGTGCAGGTTCCGGGGTGGCTGAGGAGGCAGTATCTGCTACTCAGCTTCCTGGATTCATCGGTAATCTCTCTGGAGTCCAGGGAGATTACTGATGAACCCAGGAAGCTGAATAGCACATACTGCCTCCTCCGCAGCCCCAGGACCTGCATGGGGCATAATAAAGCAAAAAGTTCCCCTGTCAAACCTGCAAGTGGGTGGCCAGCAGCAGCAGCATCGCCAGGAGAAGCAGAACCTGCCCTGGTCTATTACACCCACCGACATGACGCTACGGTATTTACCCTGCATAGCCCTCTACATGCTCAAGCAGTGCCTTCCACAGCTGCATTGCTATTTTTAGCAGCATAGTGTCCCACTGCCTCTCTGCTGCTGGAGCCTTTCCCCAGTGCAGTGAAAGGCTCCAGCAGCAGGGAAAGATTCCTGCAATGCCAGTGGAGAGCTGCCGGAGCCTTCCCCCGCCATCTCCCTTTCTGCTGCAGCCTTTCCCTGCCATGTGTAGCTACATACTGCAGTTACAAGGGTGAACACAGCCTGCTTTCACTGCGGCTCCTAGCGCCGGTACTCTCCATGCCACCATAAGTTTAGACAAGGCATAACACAGATTCTGAAATGTTGCAAATTACAGTAATGACTGTGGTATAACCCTGCCCCCCATAGATTAGATAATGGCAAAATTCCCATTGGCTTTAATGGCATCAGAATTACGCCCCAATTGCTCCAAGGGGAGATAAGTGCACTCAGCACATCTTGGGGGCTCAGTAACATCTTAAACAATTGGGCCCTAAAGGATCAGCCAGAAAACTGAAAAGGTTCCCATAAACCCCCAAGATCCAGACAGCACAACCACCTGCACCACCGTTTTTTCCTTTTCAGTTCCTACAGACATTTTTTTTTAATGGCTGTGACCTAAACGCTCACAGAAGTATCTTGAACAACTGCCCAAAAGGAAGAGATTTAGGGCGCAGTAAAGTACAATGGCATGAAAAAGATTTATATCTTTTGCTGTAGCAGAATAAAAACCAATAGTTCAAAGCAGATTGCTTCAGTGCTACAAATCTTGACTACTGGACCATTATAACTTTTCTGCTTCTAGTCACGGCTCATATCGGATGCTCCAGAGAAACTCAGAATGTACCTGGCCAAAGTTTTCAAACTAGGTGCCTTCAGTTAGGCTCTTAAATGCATATTTAGGCACCTACATTAATTAACATTAACCTACTGGCAGCCCTTGAAGCATGTCAGTAAACTATGTCATGAATGCATGTGATCATATCTCCCTCTAGTGGTTGGATCCAGTAACTACAAAAGCCTACTACTACTAACTCAAAGCTAAAGGAGTTTTCCTGCAACTTGAGCAGGGAAGGTCTCCAGTTCATCCCTTCCAACAACAGGGTGCATATGTAATAGCTGTGGTTTGTTACACCGAGCACCTGCAGGTCCCACTGACTTCAACCAGCGCTGTGAGTGCACAGCACCTCTGAAAATCAGAAAACTTGTTTAGATGCCTTAAAATGGATTTAGGTGCCTAACTTGAAATTCCCATGTTTGAGAATGTTAACCCATGTCAATTCTGTAATGATGGCTGCAAAGGGAAATTTGTGTCATGGCTCCTGTAGTGAACAGTTTTCACCCCGTATCATGAGATTTAATTACTTTTATGCACGCATGAGTAAATACAGAACTGAGCCCCTTTTAAAATCCAGCTCTGCAATCAATTCTTTCAAGCAATACCTCTGGGAAGTTGCAATTGGGCAGGGAACTGCCACAGAATCCCTGCCAGGTGCCCAGGCTGTAATTGAAAGATGAGTTGCTGATATGGCATATGTCCACCTGGTCGGGAGTGATGTTATATTCTGTAGCCACACAGCTGACAAGATCCACAGTGCTGCACATGAACTGGAGAAAATAAAGAGTGTGACAAGAACCAAAGGCACGGGTAAGAAGAAAAACCAGCAACCAATCCACTTTAAAAATTCTCTTGAAAACGACAGAATTAAACATCGGGTGACACAAGATATATATTCAGTGCCCCAGTTTCCATAATAAGTTTGCTTATCTATGCAAATCACTGTTATATTTATACTTGGTAGCAACTAATGTATTGACAAAGGGGATATGCTGATAATTTCTCATAGCTAGCAATCTATCACTAAGACTACTGCAGCGGGGGGCCTTCTACAGCAAAGGCTATTGGACCAAGACAAAACCCACTGTGGCAGACTTGCTACAAAATGCCGAGAAACCAGCAGAATACTGGTTCCTAAGAGTACCGAGTACTATTTCATGACCACTCGATTAAGCAACGAGTTTGTATCAGCCTTGGTTAACGTTGTTATAAAATGGTTACCAATGGCAACGGCCAGACACTCCAGGCTGTTGAGTAGAATGCCCATGAATAAGGGTCCAATTCTTAAAGGTGCTGAGCACCTTTAATCTACACCTGCTTCTTTATAGTTACATTATTGGGGCCCAATCCTACAAGGTGCTTGAAAGATCAGGCCCTAACACTGTAACCATAATAATACTTTGCACTTCCCTAGTGCCTTCTAGCCAAGAAACTAAAAGTGCTCTACAAACAATGTTTATCTCCATCTTACAGATGGGGAAACAGTGGCATAGAGCGGCTTCCAGCCTGATTTAAGAGGTGCTGAGGACCTGGTATTTTCATTGAAATCAATGAGATCTGTGGTAGATCAGCACTTTTAAAAGTTAAGCCATAACTGATGTACCGGAAGACTATAGCAGTGCCAGCAATAGAGGCCAAATCCAACACACTGCCCAGTGCTTTAATCACAGGATCATCCTTTTTCTCTTAAAAATCCCCCAGATTTATGTAGCATACAGAATATTTAGTTTCATGTTTAAAATAAATTTAGCTAACAAGTTAAAAATTAAAAATAGTAGGCTATCAAGAACATTCAATCTTTCTCTTTGCATCTGAAATTAGCAGCAGCGTCTGGATGCAAAGAAATCCAAATGTTTCACTTAAAATGCAGCCTTTCCAATCTCTGTGAAGTGATTACAGTCAGTGTGAAATTCAACGTTGTGCAGACGCCAGCACAAAGCCTAGGCAGCACGTAAGTCCCACTCAAAATAGAGTTTTTGTGGGGTCTGAGTGACACATAGGCCTTGGCCTGGCCTTTTGTATAGGGGTAAACTTCGCTCCTGGTTTATACAGCTACCAAGAGAAATAGAACAGTCAGAAAAATGGATGTGCAACAAAAGCAAAACCAGAGCCAGCAATGCAGGCTGTTAGGAAGGCATTTAGATGACTCCCATTTCACTTCTGGGGTGGAAAGGCTGCCCTCAGATATAGCAACAGCAACATCTGACATTAATTCACATGACTGCAATGATTATGCGTCTGGTATGCATGCCTGAAAAGATCAATAATAAAACTACACAGTAAAGAAATGGATTAAAAACCATGTACCATGTTGACAAATGCTGACAGAAAAACCAGTATAATGGCGAAGACCCCAACTAAGGTGCTATTGGTCCTGGATTGAACAATCTTCCTTGCGAGAGTCTGGAGTGGAGCTGGGAAAAGCTGGACATGAAATAAAGAGTAAATAAAATACATAAGACATGGATATTTATAAATGTTGTAATGTTAAGAGCAACCTACATCCCTACATATAAATGGTAGTGCTTGTGCTGGATGGGGTCAAAGAAGGGTGACAAGGACTTGTCTTCTTGCATGTGTTTTTTGGGAGGCGGAGGCAGACAATAAAGTGACAGCAATACAGTCTGGCAGACTTGTCAAATCTAGTTGTTTCTTCCCAATGGAAACGATGTCTTCTGAGCCAAGATGACATGGCATGCAAAACTGTGTATCCCGTCATGGTGGATGGAAAGTTAACCACAAGTCATCTTTAACTGCCAGGATCTAGAGGTCATGGATTGAAAAAAAGAGGGCTGCAAAATCTCTGGTGTATTCGTCAATGCAATCATGGATTCATACCTCACTTTCATTCAGGGAAATTAAGCAGTACCGTTTTAAGGACACATTGCTAATAGCTTGCGACCTCATCATATTATCTACTCTATCCTCCCTGCCAGGCACTTGGTTATCAAACTCTCTTGTCGTGATTACGCTACTGGGCGTTCTTTTCCATCTTATGCTGAAATAAATTTGTTAGTCTCTAAGGTGCCACAAGTACTCCTGTTCTTTTTGCGGATACAGACTAACACGGCTGCTACTTTGTAATCTTCCATCTAGATTAACCTTCTCCATAAGCACTGTCCTACTAACAGGGCATCTTTAGAACACTTGGCTCCCAGATGTCTCACTCTATTCAGGGTGGAAATACAGTGAATGGTGATAATCCCTAGGAATCCAAGCGTAGGCTTCTCCGGTCACCCATCTTATTGAAAAGCAATATTGCAACAGGTCTTCTTTCCAGCATGAAGCATTATCTCACTATGGCAAGTCCCACTGTGGGTAGGATAATTTGGGGGGGGGGGGTTGTTGGTTTTTTTTAACCTTTCCCTTCTTTTATATCCCCCTTTTCTGATCCCATTCCCACCTCCATTTCTCTGCTCTATCACAGCACAGAGCATACAGCTACAGAGGAGCAAAGAGGCTCCTCTAGAACTAGACATTAGCAGATGTCTGAGAACTATTCACATTCCCCACACCCTGTGAGCATGACCTCTATGATGCTCCCCAGCATCTTCGCTCAAGGGAAAGAAGGGCTAACACAAGACTTCTGCTGCTGCTCCAGATCTCCTCTCTCTGTTACTGCGCTGTTGTACCAGCAAAGCCACTAGACTAGAGGGTATTTTTAGAGACACTAGACGCTAGTAGCACAATGACACCGCACTGTAATTTATCTATGACTAATGCTTCTATTAAAAGTCCTGCTTTTCCCTTTTAGCCTTCATTCTTACATTTTCAGAGGTGCAACAGTTTGCCAATGTACTGCTTCCCACACAGCAAACCTACAACATAATTATTAGCTGGTGACTATTACAAAGGGGGAGAGAATCAGCAATGCTGCTAACCATTTTAAAATGCTGACTTCACCAGCTTCCGGCACAAAACTGTTTCTCTATCTCCTGGGGGGACAGGGTGTGTGTCTGTGTGGACTGGGGGGGCTTGGCGTTCTGACACATTCACACCGAATGACTAAATCCCGGAAAAGGTTACAAATTATTCAGATTCTTGTAATGTTCTTGGAATTAATTGTTTTTAAAGTATTCTCTTTGGAAATAAAAACTGTTAATATAGCAATTCTTGCCATCTAGAGATGAGCCAGTGTCAAAAGACTTCCTGTCCGCACCACCCAGCTGCTCCTACAACAGAATTAGGGCTCGTCTACACTTGAAATGCTACAGCAGCACAACAGCAGCCCTGCAGCTGCACCGCTGTAGCGCTTCCGTGTAGACGCTACCTATGCCAATGGCAGAGGTTCTCCCATCGGATTAGGTAATCCACCTTTCCCAAGAGGCAGTAGCTAGGTCAACAAAAGAATTCTTCCATTGATCTAGCACTGTCTAGGCTGGAGTTTAGGTCCAAACAGCTCCGTGTCTCAGGGGTGTGGGAATTTTCATACTCCTGAGAGATGTAGCGATGCCTAGGTAAGTTCCCAGTGTAGACCAGCCCTTAGGCAAGCAGGAAGGTAAGCCCACATGCCTAAGTCTAAAGACGTATTGCAACAGATGTCTGTATTTTCAACAGTCAATGGAATTTTGGCTCCTAAATGCCTTTTGAAAATGAGATTTAGGCTCCTAAATCACTTAGATGTTGAAATACCTAAACATCTTTAAAAATCTGGGCCACCAGGTGCCTTAACTCAAGCTTTAGAGACGTTTGTATTCCGCTCTAGACATCTCTGGTTCAATTGTTGGTGTGCTGGCATGTAACTTTGATTTCTATTTTTTTAAAATAAATCCAGACCCCAAAAGAGTTGACTTTTGACTCTTCATTGTACGTGTAGCTTTTGTTTTGAACTGGAAGGGAACATCACTACTTTATAGGTATCTTAATAATTAGCAGCCAGAAGACTTATAAGTAAGCAACTGTCCAATGTCTTTAGCTTGAAAGCTTTGCTACCACCACAATTAGGGCCTCTGTCCTGAAATTTCAGTTCATCTGTAAGATTTGACAGTTTTGTCAAGGAGTTAAATTAACTTTAAACTCAAACATTCAGATCTTGCACCAACAATCAGTCAGTCAATCATCCATTACAAGCTCTCTGAAATGGCTACTTGCCCCACACGCTTTTCAGAAGTGTGGTTCCTGAATAATGTGGCATGCAAAACCTCATCACAGAGGACTATATCATTTTTTGATCTGTTGATGCAATGCCAACTGATATTAATGGGAGCTGTATATGCAGATCAAGCATACAAAATGGCCCTTAAACTCTAGTGGTCATGATAACCACTGAGAAAATTGTCACTAAATGTAATTTATGGCATCACTTTACACTCACACCCTCTTTAGAAACACCTCTAATGCACATCTAAGCCCCACAGACCAGACTCTCCTCTCACACCAGCTATACACTGGTGTAATTCCATTGACTTCAGAGAAGCTATTCCTGATTTACACCACTATTTGGTGAAAGACGAGTCGGACATCATGAGTTCTACTCTAGCAGCTAGACTTTTAATGAGGGTGCTTTTTTTGGGATTAAACTGAGTTTCAATATTCAGCTACAATCAGCAGATGTGAGTTTTTAAAAAGTTAAATTGGAAAAAGGCAACCACATCTGCAAAATACATTTCTGAGAAAAGAGAAGGAAAATCATGAAGGGAGAAACAAGGGAATTAAGAGCAGCGGAGTGGATTTCCCATGTTCTCTATTGCAGGAACTGCTATACAATAATGCCTTGGCAACTAATTTTTTTAATAAGTAGAACAGAATAATAATTAGCACTTCAAAGTGCTGTACAAACACTAAATAATTTATTCTTACAACACCTCTTTAAAGGACTCCAGATAAGCATTATTCTCATTTTACAGATAGGGAAACTAAGATGATGCAAGGAGTTATCCCAAGAATGAATATGGCTTGCAAAGGTGAAGGGACTCACTCACATCTGTTCAGGAAACAGTGGCAGAGCCTGGATTAGAACTCAGTAGTTCTTCCTAGCCTCCAGTCTTGTTCTCAGAGCACAAGACTATAATGCCTGCAGTACACCTATATAGGATTGACCTCTAACCAGTCCTGAGAAAATGAGCAAGATCTTTTGGTAATGATAGTCAAACAAACTAAACTCCATTAACAAACATGCTTTCCTGGTACAAATATTGGTTCTCATTACTCTGTAAATTGGGGAACAGATTGTGTCAACAAACAAGTACATCCTGGAAAAAATGGAAGAGAAAAACAATGAGCGAAGCTGCCCAATGGATACATGATATTGTAATGCCATAGAAATATAGCACCTCTGAGACAATTATTCTTTACAAATAATAATGAATTTAGTTCCTAACATACGCCATAAGCTAGATAATTACTATCCCCATTTTACAGATGAAGAAACTGAAGCACAGAGAGGTTGCAACTTGGTTGAGATCTGTGACAGAACTAGGAATACAACCTAGATCTCCTAACATTCCCATCCTGTGCGCTAGCCACTGGACAATGTTTCCTTTGCAAAAGTCTCTATAGAGCAGCAGTCTAGTAACAGTCACTCATGTTCTATTAAAAGTAGCAAAACAAACACGTAAGCATAGTTCAAACTATGGTTATTGCTTCTTTGAACTAGTAAATGCGATTCATTTTCTGTTTAAAATGGTATCTAAATGTAGAACAGCAGAGCAAATGTGACGAACACACACACACATATAGGAGGGGCTGAAAATAGGGACATGATTCATTTGGTAAATAAAGGTGCTGATATGGGAACTTGAGGCCAGATACCATTAGCTTGATCAGGCTCCCAAAATCCAAGTGTCAAAGAAAATTAGCATAGGGAAAAAATAGTCAGATGGATTTCCCCATTATTTAATTCACTCTAGTTTAAAACGCACAAAAGGCATTGAAAGCAATAGGTGAAATCCTATCTTCAGATGTCCAGCTTTGAAGTACCAACAGCTAGAGCCACTCTCAGATGCAGGACACCAACAGGATTGTATAGTAAGTGTGTCATAACTAAGGCTATGTTTTAGTCACGGGTATTTTTAGTAAAAGGCATGGACAGGTCACGGGCAGGAAACAAAAATTCATGGCCCGTGACCTGAACATGACTTTTACTATATACCCCTAATTAAACTTGGGCTGGGGGGCAGCCCAGGACCCCTGCTGGTGCTGGGGTCCTGGGGAGGGGCTTGGGAGGGAGGGAGGGTGGGCTGTGGTGCATGTCCGGGACCCCCGCGTTGCTGGTGCTGGGGCGGGGATTGGCAGGGCTCGCAGGCTCCCTACCGGGCTCCGCATGTCCCCACAGTTCCGGCCAGAGGGGCTCCAAATCGCTGTTCCCACCGCAAGTGCCAGCTCTTCAGGCAAAGCTCCCATTGGCCGGAAATCGCAGCCAATGGGAGCTGTGGGGGAGAGCCTGTGGGCACGGGTAGCGCGCGGAGTCCCCTGGCCCCTCCTCT